ATGGGGTTTTCAGGGGGTGTGAAAGTCTACATGTGTTCCGAAGGTGTTCTGTATTTTCCCCCGGTTCACATGTTCACTCTCTCTCTCTCTCTCTCTCTCTCTCTCTTAGGCGTCAAGTGTGACGTGCCATTGATGTATAGCTGACCATGTGGTCGCTTCAGGTTAGGATGAAGACCAGGCAGTCAGCAAAACAAAAATGGCGAGCCGGGCCTTGGTGCGCTTGCTTGGCCGCGCCTTGTACCGTCGAATTACATGGACATGTATTTCAAGCAATGCCATCGCTGATAGCACTGACAACACGACTAGCTTCACTCTTATCAAGCCCATGGATGTTTTAAATGGTGATGCCATGGACCATGGAGGTCGTGACGGGGCTGTGTGGGATCTGATGGAGTCACCAGTCACTGCGCCAGCCTGCCAGCAACTTGAAACCTAGTTCAAGTTTCTATGCTCCGAGAACAAAACAGGAACAGCCCCATGTCCAACTGTCCAGAAGCTTGCGTTTTGAGCCACGCTGCCATTCTTGTCAGCTCCGCAGGCACCAAGAGGCCCTGACAGTGAACTTTTGTGGCTGCAGGGTCCAGATGTTTAAAGCCGACAGCAGGTGGAGGCAGCCCGAAGCCGGAGTTCCGCGTCCTTTGCTGCCACTATGAATGCTGAGCACCGAAAGTACGAGCTCTTAACATACACGTACAGTAGCCAGGGTGCAAATAAGCAGTTCGACAACCCTATAGTCTATAGTCCCCCAGATCAGACCTTTGTATGGACGGGAGCATAAGAACCAAATCGGACAGCTATCACTTGACACTCCTGTTTTCAAACCCACACATGTTTTATCCCGCGATTTTCCTGTTTGGTTTTCCCAAAGCATGCGCGAGCCTCCCCTGCTGTCGCAAGCGCCCGCTGCCAGTTCTCGTGCGTTGGAAGTGCCAGGGCAGGGTGGTTGCACAATCGCTTCCTGAGACATCTTGGCTCATTATCAAGACGGGTACACCCAATAATCAGAAGCCGCCAACCCATGTCAACAACAGGGGCTGAAACCCGGCGAGGCCCTTCACTCAGAAAGAAAGCCGTTGCCGAGCAACAGCAGCCCGATGGCCCGGAAAACTTCAACTCCCAGCTTGCTTTTGCCTGGGACTCTCACCAGCGAGGGACTTCAGCTCTCAGTCTTTCAGCCCAATCCGTCCAAAGTTGGCCACGCCAAATCTTGCGAAGCAGATATGAGCTCAAAATGCCCGAACATCCCAAAAAAACAGTGGTTTCGGATGGAAGTGCTGGGACTATGGTTCACATCGACATGGTCGCGACATGAGATCCTGGTCCACAGTTTCAAGCATTGCAGTGGTGCGTGCCTCGCATGCCCGATGCTGAAATCGATAGTCATGCTAGTCATGCACGCACGAAACCGTCGGCACCCTAGTTATCCAACTTCCTAGAACTACACAGCTACGCGATCTGCAGACCGCCCAAACCCCCATACTTCATAGTTCAGCTTCGGGCAGGGTGATCGTGTCCACTTACGGAAAGGATGCATCGCATCGAAGTGCCGTCCAGATGCTGTTCGCTTCGTGGATAATTTCGCTTGTCTCCAGCGCCTTTTGGTAGATCCGGACTTGATCTTTCGACGGCACAAGCCACACAACAAACCTCAGCTGCCCAAGCTGCCAATTGATAAAATTTGAGCAAGTGGCTGCAAGTGGGTCGGACCACTCTTCGGGTGTTGAGGTGGCGTATGTGGCGTAAGTCCAAAGTGTCCAAGGGGCTCTGTCCGAGGTGGGAGCGGCTTCGTCAGTGCTTCGGTGCTGCCTCGAGCTTCGACTCCTGAGACGAAGATGGCACAAGCTCTGGCCCCTCGAGCCTAGAATATCACTTTAAGCCCATCGAAATCAGTTGCAACGAAGGCGAAGCAGGCACCCCGGGAAGAAGAGCCCTGATCGAAGAAGGGACACTGGACGGCAGTCGAGTTCTACACTGCAACGGAAAAGCCCTGAAAGTGTAAACTCCGGTCAACATTTCCTTCACACCTGTGCATCAAAGGCACCAGCACTGTTGTCCATCATGCCGACGCGATCCTTCGTCCGACGTAGGAGATGCGGCCTGCAAAAGACAGGGCAGCAAAAGCATGATTTAGATCCCAAGCTCACTGAAAGGTTGAGGCACAGTGAATGGCCACTGCTCGCAATTGCAGACGGGCCAGGGCTGGATAAAAACCGGGACGATCACGCCAGCCTACATTTCTCGGCCTCTCTGTCAACCTGCCCTTTCAGTTCGACCCCGATTCTCCCTGCCTCACGAGCTCCCAAAGCTGCTCGCAAAGGTGCTTCCTGACTTCACGAGAAGCGTGTCACAGAAACAAGGAAGGAGGAAAAGCGAGCAGAGGGAAGCATGCTCACACACACCGAGACACAGAGGGATACGGAGACAAACACAAACAGTAGAGACGATCCGTCAGAGCACTACGATGACCATGAAGAACACGATAACCACGACCACTGGGATGACCACAAGGAAACCCACAAAGATCATCAGGAGACCGCGAAGATACTGCTACCAGGAAACCAATGGAAACAACCTTGTACGCATGTACTGGTGGGATTCAGAGACACCTCACCGCAGCGGCGATTGGCGAAACTTTCCGTGTGCCATGCGGACACGCTCACGGGTTCTCTTTACTCTTCATGTCAGAACCCCAGTGTGTGTACCACACTCGTTGGACAAAACGCATACACGCACGCGCACTGACACAGCAAGATCGAGCGAGCAAGCGAGGGAGCGAGGGAGGGAGAACAGGTTGCACGTCCGCGCTGCATAGCACTAAGTTCTTACGGAGACTCATGTTCGCTGACCGACCGACAGTTAACTAGAACCGCAGCACGGAAACTCGCGATCCGCGATCCGAGCCGCTCCGAAACTGAGGTATATAAGTAGAACTCACTGTTCCCGACTTATGCAGCTGGTGTCGGGTTGTGGAAGCAACTTGCACTTGAAGGTGAGCTTGCCCGACAGCTCCCACGGGCGAGCCCAATCAGTCCTACTTTCCGTAACTACCTCTTAGCTGCAGATCTCTGCGCATTCCAGCTGACAGGAGCACGTTGAAGAAAACGTGCAAGCTTGCAAACTTGAGCTTTCCATGTTCTTGCTCAAAGCCATTCAAGGTATGCCAATGCTGGCAGGCATCTTGAGAGCTACAGCAGAGGGCGACGCATCCCGAACGCTTCCTTTCCTCGGCTAAAGCTGAAAGTTACTCACATTGTCTGGATCCAGGCGTAGGACGTTGTAGGATTGCTGTCTTGAGTGATACTGGTTACACTTGCAGATGGGATCGAGACTATGCATGTCTCCATACGTCTCCTGTACGCGTGCACACCAACCAGAGCCTTAGATAAGCCCTGACGATGAGTGAGCTTCGTATGCCTCTCTCTACATTTTGGTTCCCACTCTCTTTTGCCATCATCTCGCCCTCTCGGTGCAAGAAGTCCCTCTCTCTCGTCCCAAGGGCTCAATCGGATCGTTGAAGCGCTTGGTAAAGGTGGCATGGTTGCCCAGCAGACCCGGCTGCGCAAAGTCCATCAAGGCCCATAGGTCTTGCAAAGCATTCTGCACCTCGGTTCAAGCATAAACGCCGAAGGACATGTGTGAGAAGCAATGTGGGACGCGCTTCAATGTCAAAGCAACCCAATTAGTCGGAGTACAAGGGCAGTACGAGGGTATACAAGGGTAATCTTCCAGACAAGTCTCTCTAACAACAAAATAACAAAACTTTACTCAACTGGCCACGCCATAATTTTCATCCCGGCCACTGGTGTGCCTGTCAAGAGGATACGGCAGTCAGCCTTCAGCCGTCGCACGGCCTTTCCAAGAAGAGTGGAGATCGTCCGCATGACGTGTGCCTCGTCACAGATCACCTTCGATCCAGCCACGCAGAACCACACACGAAAAAGATCGGCAGTGGCTTGTGCAAACCGAGTTCGACAGTCGTCTCCCAACCAACACCATATCACGGCGGGACGCAAGGTCCCAGGGCTTTATCCAGGCTGCTGCGGCCATGCCGCGGGCTCGTTTCCTTGCTCGGAGGCAGTACATGTTGGCATCGTAACACATCTTGCGGATTGTTTAGGCAAGCTGGGGATGGATTGGAGAACAGTGTACAGTCCGTTCGGGAGTAAGCATACTTCCAGCAGCAATGTTGTGTTGTCACAGCAACTAAAACAAAAATACCTAACAGGCTCTATGTGCACACGCACACACACGTGCACACATACATGCATGCATACATACATACATACATACATACATACATTCATACATACATACATACATACATACAGACATACATACATACAGACATACATACACATGTATGGACGTACATACATACCTTTACATATATATATATATATACATATATACACACATAGCCACACCTACATATCTACCTACATATATGCATTCACGTGTGAATCCGTAGATGCGTACAGACGTACATACCCGTAGACAGACATATCGTAAATACGCAGATACTTACATACATACATTACAGCTGCGAACCTTCACTTTGGTTCCATCTGCTTTTGTGAGCGCTGGCCTTACTGTTCTTGGCTATCAAGGAGGTACCTTGAGTCCAAAGTGGGTAGTGTCGTCACACATTCGAAGGTTGCTGGCACGGAGTGTGCAGTGGTTCCACGCATGTGGCCTATGCAGTAGTAGTTGGGGCCGGCCTACAGGCCGCTCGTTCTCACAATATAGACATCTGATAAAGTGTAGGATTTATGACACATCGAGGATCTGACCTCCATGAACCTTCTGTGCCTTGCACTTGTGGCGTCTGCTCTTTGGAGGCATGCGGCGCTCCCTTCGCAGGCCGCCACTCAGACTTGCTCAGGCCGGTGCTTTCGGCATCCTGTCAAGACGCAAGCTTGTAGGCTCGTATACCGTGTTTCAACAAACCACTGATACAGTACTGGTACAGTATAGTGGGTGTTTTCGTGTGGGTGTGTGTCCCCTCTACTATGTCGGACTGAAACACAGGTTCCAGGCGCGACACCAACAATCACCCAACAACTGTTATCTCTTAGGCTGGTTAAACACGGCTATCAAGGTACGACATGCACAAGATCCCCGTAATCGAATCTAAGCTGCACAATCGGGGAAGCTCTAGCACAAAACACAAGATCCGAGCGTCCTCCGACAGGTCCACCATGGCCAGCTTCTCGTCTTCGTTCCTTTCCCAGTTCTTCGCTGCGGGTGCTGCGGTTTCGACTCGGAAGCGTAACCATGCGATATGGTAGAACGGTATAACCGAGAGGCTTGATGATGGCGTAGGAGGTGAGCAAGACACCTCCCCGTGCCCGTGCCACAGCACGGAGGGCTCGCGCGCGGTGCGTCGGTGACCCGTGGTAGATGAATACCTGGGGTTGCGGAAAGTCGAAGGGCCTCTAATACATGTTGAGGCTCGAACCAGTTCCTGCTTCCATACAGCACACACCCAACTATTGGTCTGCACACATGGGTGTTCTCTCACCGAGTTTACTCGACACATGTGTCCATCATCGAATATTATCGAAGCATCCCTTTGCAAAGGCTTCACAAGCCTTCCTTGAAAATATAGCGAAACGGTCGACACATACAGAAACAGCACATATTTCCCTTCGAGATCCTCCAGCCGAATGTTCTGCAAGCACATGTTTACTTCGTACTGGGTTTACTCCGTAGCATGCCTTGCATTGTCTGCAGCAGTCCTGTCCACAGCACACCGAAGTCAGCGACTGTAGCAGTCCCACCGCCGAACCCAAGGCATCCGTATGGGATATGGGTTGTCGACCAATCGGCATGTCGCAAAACATTCTGACCACAGACTAGGATGATACCGAAGGTCAACAGTGTTCTTAGCTCCCGGCCGGGCAGCCAGGACACCATTTTTTCAGCTCCTGGGCCCATTGATCCTTGAACAAACCATGGTCACACTCGGACAAGCCAAGCGAGGTCCATAAAGTTGGCTAGTACTTGCCTAACAACGTAATCGTCGAGGATACCTTCTTCAACCATGCGTCTAGCTGAGATGTGCAACACCGTAAGACTTCATGCTGTGAGCACGGGGGTCTGATGTGGAAAAATGTCAGGTCAACCAGAACGAACTTCAATAGTCTCCCAACCACGAGCACACAAACAATGCACCCAAGCCTTGGGCGTACTTCACCTATAGCCCGAATGCACCCACTGAAGCATGAGATTTGGGTTGAACTGGTGTTCCTGGGTCTAGCGGAGACCTGCCAAGCCTCTCACATGCAGTCAGTTCGGCTAATGTGGACAAGGCTCCAAGAGGGTCACAGGCATCACCACCAGCACGTGGGTAGCCTATTTTCGGGGCGAAAGATCAACAAAAGAGCTCCTTATCGCTTGTCAAGGACGTATAAGTAGCACTACCCGCTTCCGCTTTCCGGGCTTTCTCCTGCTCTTGCAAGAGGGGATCGCAACGACACTTGCGACTTCAAAGCCTAGGCGATCCCAAGCCCAAGCCCTGCCACAAATGTTCACACCTTATATAAACTCTTGAGAGTTGGAAGGTCGCACCTGTTTTGCGCGAAGTGCCCGGATCATGCCACAAGCCTTTCAGAGAGCTTTGGATGCAACGTTGAGCATTAGAGTACAAGCGATCGAATCAACGCCGGCGCTGCCTATTTCTTGTGGAAGCTAGTAAGTATTCTGTCTACGTCTGTTCGACAAGACCAGACTATGCCAAACAAGGTGTGCTTTGCGAGCTCACGCATACGGCTGTAGCTTCGTATTCGTAGTGTATCATACGGCGACTTTGATTGCTAATGCTGCAGTAGCTCGGCATTGCGATTTTGCCAAATCAAATCCCGGCGACTATGCCAACCCCCGAAACAACACGCAAGGGCCTGCACCGTCTTTCCCAGTCCCATCTCGTCTGCCAGGATGCCTAGGCAAGAAACTGAGTATCTCGCGTGGCAGGGTGGGTTACGGACAAAACCTGGCTGGTGATGGTGTCGATGCACCGAACTCGTGCCATTCCAAGCCTGACCGAACCCTTCCTTGAGCAAGCTCCGAAGCAACCAACGGGACCAAGCGTTTAGCTCACTCGTTCCAGACCATTCCTGTGAACGACGTCGCCATATATGCACTCGGGACAGTTACTTCCGGGAAACTGGACACTGTGTCAGGAAACTGGAACGTCCCATGGCAAAGCCACGGTGCCTCCGTGCTTGCGAGCATGCAGGTGCCACATCCACGCCACTCCTGAATGCCATGGGACCATGTGTTCGATGCGCGCATATTAGCTGAACGCCACGGGACCATGTGTTCGATGCATACACATTAGTTAACTTCCCCCTTTCCCTGTGCTTTGCTGGTTCCAATCTCAGCTGGGACCTGCCTGGAACGGTTTGGCATACTGGAGGTCCGTTCTTCTGCAATACTACATTACATTCTTGCGCGTGCAAAGGGGAGCACGCTCAGTGGCATAATTGTACACTTACAGTTAAAAGTGGCGCATTGGATGAAGCATCTTACTCTCCCTCAATGCACCTGCAGTCAAGTCGATAGGAACGTAGCCCTGCAGCCACCCCGAAATAAACTATCCTCCGTCCCGTGTTGTGTGGAAGCTGTTCTTTTGTCTCAGCAAGCTTATGCCGCCACAGCTGTAATACAGAGATGAGCAGCCACAGCATGCTATGTCCGTGACCATGGCTTACGGACTAGCTCTGGTGTGGCTTCCTCACATCTTGTGACAGCCTGGCCCAGCTGCAACAGGCCGCAAACAACAGCGGAACCGAGCCGACAAGCAAGGTGTTCACCTGTATTCCCAGTCCTCCACCGGAGGCCCGAATGAGGTTCGTGTACCATATCAGGACAGACAGCCACGCAACATAAGGGATCACAGTGATGGGTGATGGTGCTATCGAGATGACTGGCAAGCCGTCCCAAAGGAGGAAGACACGGAAGCACAGGGTCATTAGCAGGAACCAGGACACATAGTTCTTGGGATCGACCTCCAAAATACAATAGCCGGCAGACTCTGAGCATGCTGTGTAGCGGTAGAGCCGAGAGGCCAACCATGCGGGCTCTGCAGCCGCATCGAGCAATGTTGCAAAAAGAGCCCCCAAACCTGCTCGTGGCCAGGCAGCGCGGGGAGCGGCCAGGCAGGTGTCTGCCATCAGCAGGGAAAGGTAGAGGTGCCACTGGAGGGCCATGGGCTGCTGGGCCGGCATGGAGCCGACCATGGGCACCTGCATCCGCTCGGGGTCCCATGGGTGATCCCCGAATAGGATGCCACCGAACGAGGCATCGAAGTTTTCCGCCGCGCACCAGAAGGTCGCCGATGCAAACAGTAGCTTCAGGGGAGACCAAACAGAACCAGAGTGACTCCAATGCAACAGTACACTGAATGCAAAACCGCCCATGGACAACACCAGTTGGCTGGCTGCCTGCACCGTCGCTGGTGCAACAGGCCTTGTGTCAATTTCATTGTTAATCCAACAGGCCACACTGGCTGCAACGCCTGCCATAACGGTACCATGCTCGAGGATGCTGGAAACCATGGCGCCGTGGAACGTCTTGTCTTTCTTTTGAACTTTTGATGAACACAGTGGTAAGTTCATCAAACACGATATTTCCTAACTCCAGAACTTAAGCCGAACAGCGCTCCGGGCCAACATGGTCAGGGACCCAACCCCACACCCACACAACCACAACACGCACACACACGCACAAACACAGCTTTTGTACTCTATCTTCGGCGCTTGTAAAACCAAAGGCTACAACCTACTAAAACATGACAGGATTGAGATAACGACGAGCAGTTCAGGAAAAGGTAAATATGATGTGATAATGTATGGTAAAATGCCCCTGCCTTCGCGCTGATAGGGGCAAAGCCGGTCATGGAGCGTCTGCGTCAATCGCAGTGGCTCTCCCGAGGGACCAGCGGACAAGCCTCTGACCAAGTGACAGAAACTCAAAAGTCGAAGGTCTGTCTGTACAAGCTGAGACTGCTGTACTCTCTATGCTCAAGCGGCCTCATGCCACTCAGCGGCGGTCAAGATGCAGAAGTTGCATAGGCTCGCATAGGTTCATAGAGCGATGCAAAGTCTCTAGAGCATTAAGGACGATGAGTTAGTAAGCACGCCTTACAGCAACAAAATCTGAAGCCAAGCTCCTCCGTACTGCACACGCGCATTTCATGATTGGGCGGTGAGGAACAGCCGACAGGCCGTCGCACGGCGCTCCCCTTCCACAAGAAATGCAAGGAATTTCTTATTGAAGTCCCTCTCCTTTGGCAGCCTAGGCGCAGTCAGGCACTGGAACCTCGATCAGGGCTTCGTCTTCAGGGCCCTGCACCTGGCATCTCGCGAGCTGGCAGGCAGGGCAGCATGCATGTGTACCTATGTCATAGGATGTGCTCTTGTCATCCTTCCACTGCGAGAGCCCGAACCCAACAAGCGCTGCCTGTGACGCAGATCGGGCCCCGATACCGGGCTCAATCACCGCGGTGGCGCAGCGGAGGAACTCGGCGGGGCCTCGACAGCACCGTTTAGCCTCTGGACACCGACGAATCGAGATCTTTACCTCTCTATAAGGACCCGGTAGAAGGGTTGAGAAAGGCATCCCTGTTCCGTGCGACACATCCAGAATTCTTTCGAAACGAATTCCTTGCAAGTGAGCTCGACCAAAAACGTCGCGCGTGCCAACCGCCAGCATTCTGCCTGCTGTTACCTCCGGAGCATTCTGGCGGCAGGGATGATCCAACACAGCCTTAGTGTCAGCATCTATATAGCCTGGATTAAAGGAGGCTAAGCCACTTTAAATGGGAGGAGCAGCACCTCGTTTCGAGCTTGTGCATGCTTCGGGTGGCTTGAAACTGACACCGAGTTGCAGATCGGTTTCAATATCACAGGGGGTTCGGGGTCAATCGGTGTCGTGCTTAGCACATCTCGGCCAAGAAGCCTCCACCTCGACGATGTCAGGAGGACCCTTTTTCAGTCTCTTTCGCTGCGGAGAGCTGGGGTAAGAGCGCTTCGTGCCACACATCTCGCACTCGGTCAGGGGCTCCACATTCTCAAAAGTGCACACCGAGCAGGTCCAGTTCTCCTCTTCTCGGTTTTCGGCCACCCTCGCAAAGCTGTTCGGCTGAACAGCTGTGAAAGGCTTAGATGCGCTTGGCTTTCGCCACTGCTGCTGCTGCTGCTGCTGCGGGCCTTGCTGGGGTGTCTGCAAGGGCTGTTGCTGCGGCCGTGCTTGATCGGACCGTTGCGGTTTATGATCTTGTCTCGCCTGCAGCTGGACCTGCACGAGCCCATGTGCATTCTGGGCCACGGCCGGCTGTGCTTGTCTCTGCTCTTGCAGTGCGCTAATCTCCTCTTGCTGCTTTGCAATGGTTGCTTTGAGACGTTCAGCCTCCTCGACCAATGCAGCTACTCGCGAGTCTCCTCCCTCTTCCTGCGTGTCAGGCTCCGCGATTTGCCCGCAAGCTCGGAGCATCGAGCCCTGCAGCCTTACTTGGGAACCGAGAAAAACACATGCACCGGCACTCGATACGAAACAAAGGCTCAACGGCAGCCAAGGAGCTCTGGAGCAAGGACTTTGTATAAGTGCCTTGCTTGGCTCAGGGATGCAGGTTGCGAGACGCTTCGGCACGGCAAAGTCAGAGTCCCCATCCCAAACATGAATCCCGTCTGACGGATATCAATGCAAGCTGGCGCCCGAAGCATGACCCAGGACCCAGGGTCCAATCTCGAACTCAGAGGTCCAGAGCAGCTTCACCTGAAGACCTGAACCCTGCTCCGATCTCATGAAACCAGCCAGAGCCCGACGTTTGGCAGATGCAGTCCGTGAGCAGACCCTGTTCTGAACTATAGCTTCGGAACATTGGGAACTCCAAGGTTTCTCGAGTATCTTTGAGTGAATGCTTCGTATGACCCAAGAATCCAGGAATCCTGCCCTCACCTCCATTCACTTGAGGCTAGGAATGTGGAAATGGTTCAGAGGCGAGCACAGACGAAAGCATGCGTTCCGCTATGAGCCCGATGGCGGCGATCCTTTCCAAGCTTGGCCACTTGGCTCGAGAACCGCACCTCCTTCTAGCAAGCGTTCTCTCTCTTCGTTGCAAGTCCACTCGTCTTCGATGAGTCCGTGCGGCAGACTTCTTAGATGTTTGAGAGCACTACGGTGGCACCTCAAATCGGCTTTGACCTCGTGGCCAGCTTCACTGAAGAGCATTAAGTACCCCGCAGGCGCCCAGTCTCGAATCTTTGGAGTCAGCTCACTCAGCTTTAACCGAGGCTTCCTCTTCAACGGCTCGCCGGCACCGCGCCAAACATGCATTCCAGGCCCTCCGCTTGTATCTTTACCAAGTCCAGCCGCTGGCTCGCGAAGCGGGATGTCGGCAGTGCCTCGTCCAGCAGTTTTAGCAGAGGTTCGTGACCAGGCCCAGGCTCCAGGATTCCATCGCCGACATGGTTGCATGGATCCAGCATCTCCCAGTTCTGCCATTCAACCACTCCGGCACTGACGAGGTCGTTGGAGGCATACGCAGCCATTTGGAAAGGCGCTACTCCAGGAACTCCCACCTTCGTCCACCGAGCTCCTTCAGGTAACCTGCGTTCTGGAGCCGATGGCAGGTCTTGAAGGATGTTTTCCACCGTGCTGCACTTATTTGGGCCTCGCCTGATCGCTACACCCAGCAAGCAGAAGCGTTGCGGTGGCGGAAAAACTAGCAACCACTATGATATGGAGATAATGCGACAGAGCTAACAGAATCGCTTATGGACAAGTACCGAGTCTTCCGGCCCATTTTCTGTGACCAACTCAATTCGACTTTCCAAACAGTCTGACAACAAAAAACAAGCCACCCGCATGACCACTCGGCCAGCATTCAAGGTACGTGTACATGCGACCATACATAGTGTAAGTCCGTTGTTGGTAGTGGCTATATCACACGACTTATGCTTGAAAGTTGCAGTGCCGCAAGATGCCATCATCAGACAGTGCATGGGCATGGTTTCGTCTTTGCTTTACCCGACTCGTCGAACATGTGCCCCTGCCACCATGAACATCGAATGCTTGAGCAACATTGCGGGTATTTTTGCCAAAAGAAGATCGAATCCTCGTCAGCAAGGGGGTTGTCTTTCTGCGGCTCGGGTGCTGCGCCTGCTCGTATTGGACATGGACAGAACCATCCGGCCAAATCTCGCGCACGATGCCAGGCACCCACTGCTGGCTGGTCTTCGAAAACCTGACAAGCGAGTTGTACTCAGAAGCGGCGCCTTATTCTCGCGGGGACAGAGCCCGAAGCCGTGGAGACTGGAATCCTACAGCGACCTGATTGATAGACTGCGGAGATGCGACCCTAAGCAGTGTCAGCCGAAACAGATAATTATTCAGCGATGATTTAATGTAGTGTTCAGTTGACAGCATGTCGTTGAAGCTTGCATTGCAAACTCATCCCTTGCCGTAAGCATGCAGTGGCGCATCTGCACTGCAGCATCGAAGGTTCGGTTTGTCTTTTGGCTGGGAGCTGTGCATCCAAAACGAACGCCACACCGTACTGCAAGATTCAGTCAAGCAGCACTTGGACGCGCTGGCCAAGAGCATATTCTGTGGGTTCCTGGGCAGCCTTGCATCTTAGCGCTGATGGCTGCAGCCTGCGGCATGGGTTCAAGTAATTTCGCATTCAAGAACAAGCCATGCGAGTGTATCTGTTATGTCCTGCATGCGCAGCACCAAAAATGGACATGTCAAACCTCGCAGGCTGCCTAAGTTACTATGGCTTACATGTGCCATACATGTGCCAGCGTGCTGAAGTGTCGCAAGAGTTGGACGACACCAAGAGGCAGCAAAACAAAGCTCCTCCTTCAGCTTATGCAAAACTACCAGAAAGTTCCGTTCAAGGAGCTCAGGCGGAATCACCTTGTGAGAGTTCCCGTACCTTGGCGGATGATTCAAGCCGGAAGCCCATGTCGGATGTCAAATTTGCGAGACGCTGATGATGCATGCGCAAAGACTCTGAACCGAAAGGGCATATGGGCCTTGGACGAAGGACATCGAACGCTGCGCCGCTTCAGTATTTTGACAAAGTGTCCGGTACGATGCCCGTCCACCGTACCGCAGATTCGCAAGCTTCAACATCCGAAAAACAGAAGAACATCTGCGCGTCTGCTGCCGGATTGCCGAACCCAAATACCCTTGTCTGGCAGTATCTGTTGGATCGTGGCATCTACCCAGGCCTGGACAGGTCACGGAAGCAGTGTCGGGTAATCCATCCCAGCAAAACTCACAACTGCCGAATCATAAGCACATAAAATCAAGGTCCCTATAATTTCATAATAATTAAGGCCCGTATAATTTAAGAATATTCAGGTCCCTAACCCTCCCGGAGCTGTCATGAAGATGGACTCACCGGAGCAGGGCTAGGCATGCTACGAATTCGGAGGCGACTTCATGCTTCAGTGCTCACGAGAGTGACTCTTCACAAGACGAGGGGCCACAACTGCAAGCACGGCAAAGCAGGAGAACACTGCCGGAACTCTAGATTCTCGACCGCCGGAAGCTAGCTACAACGCAAGCTGGGAATTGCACATCCCCCTGCAATCCTGAGCTCAAGGCCTCAAACCGCAAGGTTCAAAGTCCTCCGAACTTGCAGAGCGGGCCGCGTTGCTGGACTTCGAGAGCACCTGCACGGCTTGACCAACACGATATGATGCCTGAGCCACGGGTCGACAGACTGTATAATATAAGATAATATAATATAATATAATATAATATAATATAATATAATATGTATATATATATATAATAGTATAGTATAGTATAGTATAGTATAGTATAGTATAGTATATTATATTTGTAAGGAGATGAGAAAAAGAGAGAGGCAACTATCCATGCTTATCACATCTTAAACTTAGCGTGGCAGGGATCCTTCGGGCGCTTGAACGACAGACCCCGCTGCAATTCCAGCTCCTGCCAACAAACACACTATCATTATACATCTACCACTCCCACCACTCGAAATACTGCAGTAACCTCCAAGCTGTTGCTGAAGCTCAGTCTGGGAAGAGAAAACATCATGCCTTGCTTACGTTCAAGTCCATGCCGGGGTGCACTGGCCGTAACTGACGCAGCTAGTGCCGCCATACCCCGCCCCCCATGTGAAAGCCGCTGGAGCCATCAGAGTTCACAGCACAAGCACAAGTGAGGCTGGTGGGAGGTTGGATTTCGAAGGAAGGCTGGAATCCTCAGGGCCCAACTAGGCATTCACAGAACAGCTACCTTGCGGGCCGGACAGAAGCCGCAGTCTCGCTTGCCTTTAAGCCATTCACCCGAAAATGCCTGCTTTCTACGAATTCGGGTCTTCAGGCAGTGGGATTGGGCTTGTTCCATGCAAGGCATGTAATGCACCTTTGCTGGCGCGACAAAGCACTTGTCTCATCTCCAATGTCAAACTTCTCCATGGCACTAGACCACACTCGGATCCAGGTTTTCTGCTCTGGTATACTCAGCTGAGCACTCCTGCAAGCGTGTACATGCTACATAGTACAACAAATAGTGTATTCTATCTAGTATCATCCAGTTGGAACATGGCAGAATCTAGCAAGCGAGTTTAGTGCGAGTGTAGTGCTCCGCACGACGTGTGTATGCATAAACGAGATATACTGCTAAAAGCACATGAAATTGTCATGTCTGTGTTGAATCTGTATTAAACACACATACCGATAGGATAACCCAAGAATTCGGCAACTGCTACAGCACACAAAGCACCAGACCGCAAGGCGACCGCACGAGCCATTGAGCTCGGGCCGCTTTTCGAGGCCTCGGAGCATGCAGCTGAGGGTTTCGATAGAAAGTCGTATATCGCTAGTTCGTTTGGCATTTTAGCGGTTATGCATTCCCACAACTTTGTTGGTATGTGCAGGTCTCAAGACAAGCACGATGCAGGCCCTCGCACATGGCTGGTATCCTGGAAAACTTCGGCGCATGTTTTATGCATAGAATCAACGTGCCTGATGCAGCATAAGTTTGAGCAGCTAGCAAGGGACAACGTTGACTTGACTGCCGGCGTATACCCAAATTCATCTGTCGATGCTTGGCAACTGCCTTAGTTCAGAACCATCTGATATGGATTGGGAAGTCCGCCTTCCTGCGCCTGTTCACTGATGCACTGGGATCTGAACCACGCAAGCGCACGTGCGAGCCCACTTGGAGAGGCCTGAAAGCATCGGATTGCAGAAAGACGGCCAGAAGGCTCGGTGCAGGGGAGGGGAGCCTAGTGCCTCCGAATGCTCAGTATTGGCAGTATTGTCTAGCCAGCCAAAACTGGCCCAGGCTTACTACGAGGCTTAGTAAGAAACTTGCCCTAGCTTATTCAAGGAACCATGAAGATGTTGTTAAGAAGGAGATAATCGAACATGCTCATACGGTTTGCATTAGACTTGTTGAGCGCCTGCTGCCAAATCCGACAATCCGCAGATTGCGGATGCTTCTCTGGGATCTGTGACAAGGGAGCTGTTGGTTATGAAATGGGCTGACGATTAGATGCGCTTCCACGGCTTACGAACTTACGTTACATGGCAATTCTTGTTAGATAACATGCACTTTTTTTGACAGAACTGACTATGACGTCCTCTGGCCGGCACATTCACATCCGATTTCCGACATCTTGTATCGCTGTCCAACGTAGATATAGTAGTAGCCGTACAGTAGCCTGTCAAACGGTGTCCTCATAGGCACTAGGAAAACCCTTCAAATTGTTGGACCAACATATTCGGGCTGACTCGTTCTACCAGTGGGATTGTCGATGTGCTTGGATCTTTCGATCTTCATAGAGACGGGACCGCACACGGCCGTGCACGACACGAGGCGCTGCGGCAAGTGCGAGGTCCCTCGCTCCCCCATCCCGCTCTCGTTGCAGATCCCGTTTCTAAGCAATGTTGCTTGAACCGAAGTTCTGGAATGTGAACTGCTACAGCTGCTACAGCATCTGGGACATCCCAAAACTTCGTCCCTTTTGCTGGGCTGACGTAGTTTTTTTTGTGCGCTTCGCAGATCTGACTGAAGCTACAACAACCCATACGGCTACAATATCGCGACCTCAATACTTAGAAGAAGCTCTCGGGGCAAATTGCAGTATAAGTATACAATAAGGTACCCTTAGGAATACTGTTGGTAGGCAATCCGGCTTCTAGAGATCAAGTGGTTGCCCAAGCGACGGTGCAGAGGAAGCTTGCCTCCGGTCTGCAGAAGAGCCTGGTGCAATCATAACACACTGATGACAACAGATGCCTGCAGCATCTCAGAGCCGATATGCTAGATCTTCAGAGTTCTCCAGTGTAACAGGAGTGTAAAGAAATACACCCGCGATTCCGCGATCATCCAAAGTTTGCGGCTCCGAAACTATTCTGCAACAACGATATTACTGCAACACCACACCGATAGCCTATAAAGCACAAACAACACAGCTGTTTGAGCTGGACCAGATGAGAAATCTTCAATGCTTCATCAGCATGGAAGCCCCGCGGACCCTGAAACGACTGAACTACGGACTTAGCAGTCCGGTCCTTTCATCATGCAAGTTCAACAATACTTAGATTACATGGCTGACTGACTGTGTAGCCTTGCCCTAACTGCACATGCTCGTCGCTGCCCACACCCTGCCCTTCCGATGTCTCACTTTGCCAGCCAGGCGCCGGCCGTTTGCGAAGCGGCTCGGGCCTGCGTGTACGGATACGGCGAAGACACGAAATCCCCAAAACACTAAACCCATCTCTCAGTTACCCTGGCCTAGAAAGCTAGCCAAGCAAACGGCAGGAGCACGTGCTCAACACTACAAATGCTTGGTAGTAGTTGTTGCAGTACAGCAGTAGTAGTAGTAGTAGTAGTAGTAGTACCAATCAATCAACAGCGGCGGCCGCTAGGTACATTCCGAGCTTGTTGTGTGCCGGATTTGTTGATTAATAATGCAAAACGTCGAATCTGGAGCATGAAGGCCAGGAAAACATAGCATGCTCAGCCATAAGCAGCTGAAGGCTCAAGGACCACAGGATGAACGGACCCGCACATTGCCGAATTGCAGGGATCGGCCCAGCAAAGTCTTGAGAATTTGGGCCTCGGCAGGAGACGACCTGACCGGCACTGTGCTGGCAGATGCCGAGACCTGTCAGGTCGGTACCAAGCAAGCTTGGTGCACACAACGCAGGCACTGGAAAGCCGCAGCGTCGACAGATTTGGCAAATTAGTTTGGTTATAGACCTCTGAGGAGGTTAAGAATAGAGATGTTCCTGGTGCTGGCTGCAGTGAGCTGTGCACATACCGATAGTTCGAACAAAAGCTTCTTTCTCTATGCCTGCGTCAGACCTGTGCACAGATTCTTGTCACAAGCTGCTGGAAGCGCCTAGAGGCTTGTGTTCAATTTGTTCAAAACCGCCTCGTGGATGTCAAGCATCTTTACATTTGACCCGATAGAAACCTCTGTCAGGCACCATTACATACAAGCTTGTTCACTGCCAACATGTGGTGCGCAATGTCATGTCAAAACTGAACTGCTGTCCTGCACGCGGTGCTGATGCCGCTACAGTTCTTGGCCTGCACACCAACTGCGAGTTCAGTTCGTTTTCTAATTTGTCTGACGACGGCCTGGTTGCTCGCCGTCGCAGGCGTGGGAGGCACTGGCATCTCTGACAACCTGTCACCAGGCAAATCGGACATATTCGTTGCCAATAGAAGTATGATGCGACATAAGCGCCCGAGACAATGCCAAGAACCGAACTGGCTGTCCGCAATGCCCGCACTCGCCGAACTGCGTCGATGGCCTTACGCTTGCTCTTGGGGGAACATTCCAACTCGTCCGATGCTCGAGTTGACCTGAAGGTTCTTCGGATCTAGACATTGGGCATAGATGAGTTTGGTAATGGATTGCGATGAACACAGCGACGCAACTACTCCGACTGGGCCGCTGGTCGGTGCTTGAAATCTCAGTTCACATATCATATTGGTCCACGCCTGGAATCGTCCACAGGTCGTGCTCAGACCTCTTATTATAGAAGTCGCCCGAGTGCACGCATCCGAAACCTTGAAGTCTAAGGTCCTGCGACTGCTCTAGCAGATTTGCAGGACGCGGGATCCTCTGGCTACGGCATAAGCGCTCTCTCCAAACTTTCAGCATGCCCCGAGAATCCACGAGCTCCAGTGGCGTGTTGCATCTGATTTGGCCCATGGTAGCCCACTGACATGGCGCTCAACCATGCCCCCTTGCAATTATGGGCGCGAGCAGCAGGTCGGTTTTTCTGAACCCATGGTCCGGCAGTGGGCTTTGAAGCTCCAGGCTTGAGATGGCTGACGCATCTCTGTTGCTTCAGCACTTCCAGGTCTAGTCTGAGAGGAGCACGTTTCTCAAACATTGAATCCAACGAGAGCCGACTGATTCTAGTGGCAAATTGGCCTCTGTAGTGCAGACCTGGTGAAGCTTCGGTGCATTCGTTGGTTTGAGAAACAGCTCTGCGCGTAAGCTATGTACATGGCTCGCAGGTTGAGGCTCAGAACCGCCGGCGCTTTCGTGGCCTCGGGAGTGCCATGCTGGCTTCGGCGCATGCTTTGTAAATCTCTAGAGCCAAAGCCGTCAATCAGGGTCCATAAGCTTCAACAAGTGGAACAATTCTTTGCTATTCCGAGCGTCGCCGGGGCATCAACATCCACAACCACTGCAGCTGCTTCTGCTGCTTCAGCCTCCTCGCCTGAAGCTCTCTTCTCTCTGGAGAGGCTTTGCTCCGGTGTCGGTGTCGAGTACATAATTAACGAACATCCCAACACTTGAGAGAAGCAAGACAGAGACAAAGCAACCTGCCAACGGAGAACCTATCACAATCCAAGGGACGCTCCGCCTCGGCCAAGGCCTGCAGGGGTGTTTTTTTTGCATGTCCTTGTGCCCAGCCTCTTGCAAGGGCACTCAACGGCCCAACGAGAGCAACATTAAACAATACGCCACGCTGACGCCCAGTACAAACGGTAACAAGGCTAATATAAGCCCATGGTAAACAACAGCAGACAGGCGCGAGTAGAACAAGAGCTAGCTCTCTCTCTCTTTCTATCTATCCATCAATCCATCGATCTATTATCTCTCTGTCTATCTATATCTATATATATATATGTATGTATATGTATATGTATATGTATATATGTATATGTATATGTATATGTATATGTATATGTATATGTATATGTGTGTATGTGTGTATGTATGTATGTATGTATGTATGTATGTATGTGTGTATGTATGTATGTATGTATGTATGTATGTATGTATATCAGGGATGCGAGCCTTTGCCAAGGCCGCGAAGCCATCCACGGCCTCCTCAGACAAAGCTTTAAACGACCATGATCCAGCGTATATCAAGTAGTCAAGTAGAGTATCTTTCCAGGTTAAAAAGCAACCCAGCTTGCCGTTGGGGTACAGGTGGCTTGCAGAAGGTCGTTGAACAAGAGAAGCAACAAACCCTGGAAGAGACATGCTTCCAATTTCGACCAGATCTCGGGCTAGCGGGTGAGTCGCAGGGGTTTTGATGCAGCGGAGCTAGGCTGCTGCGGCTCAAGCTTTCAGAGTAGTGGAGTGATGGGCACGCCACAGCGGCGGATTTGGTACACTGACGTCGGTATACCAGCACTCTGCCCAAAGAAGCCCTTTTAAGACCAAGGCCGAAACATTCATTGAGCATCCAGCTTTTCAACCCTGCCGGAGTCCAAAGCCTGCCAAATTTCATCCCATCCCTGTGAGATCGATGCGGTCTCATCGTTTCCTATCCTACAATCTGCATTGTGGAAACGGATCCGGACCAGCCCGTCAAATCCCGAAGGACACGAAACCCTAAACCCTATATACCCTAAGCCCTAAACCCTTTAACAGCAGGCCTCGTACACAGAAGCCCTAAACCCCAAACCCTAAACCGTGCCTCCGAATCTGCTTCGGTTACCTGCCGAGAGCATTTCTGGTCACGCATTCCTTTCCAAGACGATGGTCATCCCGTTTGAACTAGCACATCACAACGGCCAGCATGATGGCATCAACAAATGCGGAGATAGTTGAACCATGTTGAACCTAGCAGAACGGAATGTTCAGAATCAGAATACTACAGAAGCATTCAGCACGGCCGGTTGTCGTGATTTGGCAAATGCGGCAAACTGTGCCAAATGCAACATTCAATATCCCACGAACTGCAAAATGGAACAAACACAGCATGTTCGAGCTCAAATGTCTAGAAATCGTACAACGTCTCGTTTTCTTGGACGCAGTATGCGAAGACGTCGGGACTGCACCCTTTTGACTTTTGACAATGTGTACCAGCACGTCCAATCGCAAGTTCTACATGGGCCTTAGGTGGTGCCGATAATGATCGACAACATGGATGTTCGATCGGAAGAGAGCTCAGTACAGTTTCTCCAAGCAGGACACATAGACTTAGACACACACACAGACACTCCCACATTGTTTGTGTTGCGCATTTCTGTCTCTGATTGGCAAGAGGACAGATCGACATAAATAGTTCGGGAATGTCAGGGAATATTGATCTCGATCTCGATCCTCGCTGGATGTCGCACCTAGGGACCTAGCTTTTCTGTTCAGCTGCGTCACAGTACACTACGTTGCCATGCAGTCTGCTGCTTTCTTGAGAGTGCAGCACTTTGACTCGGTACCCTGTCCTTCTCCTTGCCTTGCCATCCTCAAGAAGACCATACTGCTTCGTCGGTTTCCAATTCTGTGAGGCCTAATATCGTTCCTCGACCTGTCTGCTTCTCACATGGCTAGAGGAGACATGGAGGACGAGCCAAGACAGACCCAAGACTGCTTCGAAGGCCGTGTACTTGCCGCCAGGCACCTCCTCGCCACCCGTCAAAGCCTGGCACGGCATGCTCAAATTGCTAAAATGTGTCTACCTAAAACTAAAATACACAAAAACAAAAAGGAACTAAGCATCCAAGACCAGCCTCCAGGACGCCTTCGACTTGATCCACCGCAAGCAGCAAAGGACCGGGATCGTCTCCCTCCTGGCGCTCGCCAACGCGAAGTTAGCTGATCGAGACGCTGCCTTCAAGACCTGACTGTTTAACTGTGGCCTGCAGACGCCGGACGGATCTAAATGGTGCTGACCTCGTTTTTCATATACCTGATACAGAACGTGTCGAAGGCATATATAACAGCAGCAGAAAGCTTCCGTGCAAATGGCCTCGCTTTGCAATTTTTTTGCAGTAACCACATAGCAGCAAAGGATTGCGGACCCAGGCGCCGCTGGGGTCTGACGCTTGTTTGGGTGCCCAATGTTGCCACTGAGCCCCATCACCCCATCTCCTGGAAGTTCTCCGCGAGCTCCATCACGGCCGCTGCCAACGCCGCCGCTGAAGCACCATACTCAGATAAGCTGCAAGCGCTGCAAACCCTGCAGACTCCCTATGTTAAAAATCCCACAATGTTAACAACCGATCCTTGCGAGCGTGAGGGCATGCAGCCTTTGGGGCATGGGGCAAGATTCCTCCGGGGGCACAAAGATCGCATCAATCAAAGCATGCTTGCGCGACACCATGCTTGATGCAGGTATGTTCGCGCTCAGTTGGTACCGAACCGTTCACAACGCGTGCTGTCAGCATCAAGCTGCAGGTGGCTTTCGGATCTGTCGGCGGAGATCAAAGGATTGAAGTCAAAGATTTCCTGACCCTGTCGAAAGAATGAATCGCCAAGCAGCCTCGGACTCCTCAAGAGTTTCGGGGGCCTCTCGCTCGCGAGCCGTGGTCGCCTTTCGGATCGGGACGGGACTTGGGGCTCGATTGCTTTAAAATCCCTTGTAGAGGCATCACAGCTTCGAACTGAACTCCGGAATGTAATGAATGGGACACAAGCCGGAGTCTAGAACCACCATGCAACGCACGCTCAAAGCCTCTTCTGCACGGTGCTGCGTCTGCTGTAGAGCGGCGCGCAGCTGCTCCTTGACTGCAAGCAAATACACCGCAAAAGCCCAGTGTGTCCAACCAACTGAGGAAGGAAGCCAGCACTGCAAAGACAGCCTTCAACTCTGAAAAGCAGTGATTTATGTCGTCTTCTGCTCATCCGTTCCGGTGCCTGCTGTAAAGCGGCCATGACGGAGCTAGCCAAAGCTGCAGCAGTCTCTCACGCACCTTTCATAAACGTTTGCACAATCTACACACACACACACATATATATATATATACTTATATATATATATATATCTATCTCTCTCTCTCTCTCTATCTCTCTCTCTCTCACATAACACGTAGATACGACAACCTGACATTGCAGAATGTGCCTGCTGCCTCGTCGGAGGCTTCTTCGACATTCGGAATTGTGTTGCCGCGAATCCATATTGTGGCTGGGAACGGCTGCGACTTGCTGATTCTGGAGAGGCGATCTCCACTCTAGCCAGCACCATACATTTGTTTATTTCGAAGGACCAGCTATAGGGCTGCTTAAGCTCTTTTGGCAGGCCCGTCCTAATCCATGTTTACGAATGTGTGAATATTGCCAACCAAGCATCGTCATCTTCCTCCTCCGCAGCCTCAGCACCTCTTAACGGGCCGATAATGCCGATGGGGGAATCGAAAGAACAACGGCACACTCCGGGGCGACTACCTGGCACGAAACCCATGCCTCCGGCATCAGTCGACATGGGGGCCTCCTCGACGGCTGCCGCTTCCTGCCACCCGAAACACTCTTGTAGACAGCAAGAAGTGCAGCACTGTCTCATCGAAGCCGTGGCTTGAGAGCATGTTTCCAAAACTCAAGGAAAGACTGCGCTTGTCCAATGCCAACACGTTCTAGTCTCGCGATTTGAACATTCCCTCGAACCATCACTGTGCTAGTGTGCTGTTAACTTAGAAGACGAGTGATGACACTCAGGCCTGCATTGCAGCCGGATTGAAGTCAGTTAGGTCATGTGCTCCTGCTCTTGCTCAGGAGCTGCATCTGCCGCGTCTGGATAGATCGCCTGGTCTTCTGCTGTCACCGGCGCTGTGCCTGTATGTGGCAACACTGCAGTGCGCTCTAACTGCAGCTACCAGTCCCTACCATAGACCGGTCTCTGCAACCCCGCCTTCATCAGTCGCTGCAGGCGGAGCTTCTCTTTCGGTGGATTCCTGGCATTTGAAGCACTCACAGTCACAAGCACAGCCCCCAAAGCACCCATAGAGAATCTGGTATGTGGTCTCACTTCACTTCGCTTCACTTCACTTCACGTCACGTCACTTCACTTAACTTCACTACGGGGGACCTTTTAGTCAGGTCATCCGGGCCGATTGCTTTGCTTTGCTTTGCTTTGCTAGGGGTATGAGGCACCGGCTGTCCCGATGCCCTTTTTTTTCTCTCTCTTTCTTTCTTTCGCCAGGGCTGTGGGCCGGGGATTTCTCCCCAGCCCGCGCGCTGTTCTCTCTCTCTCTCTCTCTCTCTCTCTTCTTCAGCACCTCTCTCTCTTCGTCAGAACAGCCAGAAGCGTCAGCGAGTGCTTACCCCCCGCGCGGGTTCGCGCACCGGGGAATTACGCAGGAACGAAACAGTCAGCACTGCAGGAGTTCAACACCGGAAGCCGACCAATACAGAAGTGCCCCCAACAGGCCTGAAGCCTAAGTGTCAAACCCCCCACTCGATTGCAGCACCCTATCGCCAAGCCTGAGGCCCCGGCTTTGCCTGTCTCTCGCTTCCTTGCTTCCTTTCCTTCCTTTCCTTCCTCTCCTCCCTCTGCTCCCTCCCTCGATCCCACCCTCCCTCCCTCTCTCTTTCTCTCTCTTGCTTGCTTGCGTGCTTGCTTGCTAGGGGTTTACGGGCGAACCCACCGGCCCGTAGGCCAACGCCTCCACGGTCTGCGCTGGTTCGTCTCTCTCTCTCTCTCTCTCTCTCTCTCTGTCTTCTTCTTCTTCCCCAGGGCATGGAGGGCAGGTTACGCCCCCCGGCCAATTGGCCCCCCATATGTTATGAGGCTTTGGGGAGGAGTGAAAGTCTCGAGTATGTATCGGGAGCTTTTGAAATCAGTAGGTTAAGTGACTGAATCCTTGACAAAAAGTTAGTTACAGTTAGTTCTTGAGTAACACATTCCCCCGATATACTCGTCAGCTCAACTTTGGGACGCCTTCCTTGAATTCTGGTTTTGTATTCGTGGGACGGCTTTGTCTAGATTCTAGATGATGCAGTGCACCCCCTTGTACGGTTTACAACACGAGTAGAACATAACAATCTCCCGTCGTCCACGAGCCAGGTTTCGGCATGCAAATCAGGCTGGATATGACGGCTCACAACTATAAGGCGACCTAACGAACAGTACACAACAATACGGCCACCACATCCAATGAAGAGGCGTTGAAAACTCTATCGTCCCCAGCTTTATGCAATTCGCATAGCGTACTCCTGCTGAGGCGCGGGCTGCAGGTTTGCTCAGCAGATGGAGAAATGTCTGTTGTGAAAGACAACCCATCTAAAACTAAAAAGCGTGCCAGTTGAAGGAACCGTGTCCCCATCTGTCCAAGTGAGCTCCCCTTTGGCCTGTTTCGGACGAAGTATCTGTAGGCCCGGGTTTTCTCAGCATCCACACAGGCACTGTTTCTCTCTCTCTCTCTCTCTCTGCGACCTGTCCATGTTCAATGCCAAGTGAAAGGCTTTCGTGAACCCGCCCGGACCAACATGCCGTTATTGATCCCGCATCACATGCTTGAAACACCTGGCCTTGCAAACAGGAAGTTGACCATCCAAGTCTTCACACGTCAAGCAACCTATCTTTTCTTTGTCTATTCTTTAAATAACTAAATAAATAAATATAAATAAATAAAAGCCTCAATCTAAACATGCAAGTCATCCAGGCATCTATTTTGCAGGCGTTTGCCTCCTGGGGCTCGTCGCTGGGTATGGCCGGCTTCACATCGTGCCCTGCTGTGTGTGATGGGCCTGTGCGGACCGAGTGACTGCATGGCATGGCCTTACTCTTTTCCTTGCAGGTAATTGGAGTGTGAACAAACTTGATTTTGAAGCATTCGGCTTCGCTGAAAGGCATTGATGGGCTGCGGGCTTTGTGGCTCATGAGGAGGTGTTTCTGGGGGCTGCGGATGCATGCTTACGGGAGAAGAACAAAGTCAAAAAGATAAAGAGAGAGCGAGAGAGAGAGAGAGAGGTGAGCATTGCTGCACATGCGCATGCAAATGGTCCCACATGCCTGCAGAAGCGACCGGAGGCACAGCAAGTTCCTTGGTAAGTTGCAGGTCAAGATTCCTTGAAGTGCCAATCGTCGGGCTTAAGATCCAAACGCCGGTCAATCTCTGCTCCGAGGATTGACGCAACCGTCCCAGTCAATGTTTTTCGTGATGTAGCAGACACATGTCCAAATTTACACCTTTACACCAAACGGCAATGTGTACATGCATATCCATAAACTTTTACACGCACACATTAACTCTATATTATATAGCTGATGCGCAGATCTGCGCCACGTTTGTGCGTCAATGTTGTGATGCGGCGGCTGTGGCTGGAATGTTACACACAAGGTCATGTCCTGGCAAGTGCAGGGGTTGTGGTGGGAGCTGGTTCGCCGTCCATTAAGATCTATAATATTATAATTACCAAATAAGCCGCTTCACTTCCATGTCCATGCTGGCTGCAACCCAGCCACAGGCACAGATGCATCGCTGAATGGATCGTACACCTGCACCACACCTACTTGCAACACTCCCACGACATGCTCAGATGAAGCTCCTGCAACACTTACTGTAGAATAGAAGGTTCCATTCCATCGCAGGCCCGAACAAATTGAATCACCATAATTCTGCGAGCAATGTGGGCCGTTGTGGGCGAACGACAGGCGATGACAAAAACAGACACGTGTCAAGTCCGTATGCACTTCTAGGGCTTCTGAGCTTTCAGTGGACCCTTGAGGATTGCAGGGTGCTGTGTCACGACACCTTCACTCCTCAGGTTGCAACGCTTCACTTCCGAAAGCCGTGAAGCCCTTTGCATCGCGGGTCCTGTTCCATGTGCGTGCTACGGAGTACTTGTCTTCTCTGACTTTCCTGGTCCTGCCAGGCAGCCAACTACATCAGCAGAAAAAGCAGGTCGGCAAATCGAATCGAATCACGAAGCAAACAGATTCCAGAACCCTATTGCGTACGGACGTTCCTCTTACAGCATGTCAAGTAAGAGACTACCGTCAGCTTACCTTCTTTCAACGACAATGGCACGCGCAGAGTCTTCAATCACACGCATGAGACCCTCCTTCCACAGGTCGTGCAGCTCCAGGATGGCAAGAAGCCGTGCTCGCCTAGTGGCTTAAGATCCAAGGTTCATAAGCAACAGCAAGGTTCCTATCTTGCAGATCCGACTTTTCTGAAGCGTTTGCGCGCTTCGACTTGCGCAGCAAAGTCCCCTGGGCCCTCGTGAAACCCAAACTCTGGACTTCCCCATTGACTCCGAGAAGCTGTTGCTGGGGATTGGGCGGCTCGGCTTCGAAGTTCCTCGCAATGTCCACTGTTTCATCGCTTTGCCTATGGAATCGCTGGTCTGGCGAAGGCTTATGAGCAAACGAGCCGTTGCGGCAGCCGGGCAAAGGCACAGTCCCTGAAGAAGCATGAAGCATTCTCTCCCCGCACGGTTCTTGAGCGCGACATCAGGGCGATTTCATGTTAGCCAAGGCTCAGTGGGATCGGGAAACCTTCCCCTTCCACCGCCTCCGGGAACAGCGTCAGTGGGCTGATAGCTGAAGCGGCATTACGGCCACGGGTTGGCTGTGATGTGCTGGTGGTGGGAGCCACCATGCAAGTCTCCACTCACTATCACACAAACCCGGCACGGCAGGAGCCAGGTTTATAACAGGAGTGTGACACCGTCACACGCACACACACAGACAGACAGACGCTAGGCTGCTGAAGCGACCTAGCTAATAGCCACCCGCAAGCTAGCGATCTCACGGTTGCCAGCTACCTGTAAGAGTCTGTAAGAGCATCTGGCAGATGATGGCCATAGAGCCAGTTGGCGTCCGAAGAGAGGCTTGGGACTGAAAGTGCACCTTCTCCTCTTCCTCCTCTCCATGCAGGGCATCATATTCCTCCAGCTTCCTGAGTGCTAACGACAGCCGATCGGGTGTTCACTGTGTTCATCTGAGGTGTACCAACAGGGTTCGACGTGAGGTAACCCCTAGCTCTTCCCTCCAAGCATCTTGATCATCGAAGGCTTGTCCAGATGCCCAGGGAACACCTGGACTAATGCAGAGGCAGGGACAGCAGGCCCAGTTTTCCGTACTCTGGCTGCAACAGGCTCGAAAGATGTTGTTTCTGGGAAAATGATGTCGGAGAAAGGGCTCTCTTCTCCTCAGGACAGGATGCAAGGCCACGAAAGTCATACAACTCCCGCAGCTGCTCCGTGGAGAAATTCTGGAAAGTCTGCCTCCCAGATCATGCTAGCAAGAGGGACTGCATGGGCAAGGCCACTAGGCTGTAGTATTTTTGCTGCAGCTGTGCTTGCCAGTCCTGCAAGCATCGAAGTTGATCCGACTATGCTGAACAAAATGGGGCTGGACTGACTTTGGTATCTGAAACACGAGAGGCGAGAAGCAGAGCATCGACAAACGTTCCTAAACCTGAGGCTACAGCAATGCACTCACAAGATTGCAGGCCCATCTCATCTCTCAAACATCCACGACATCCGCTGCCAGGTTCCTAGGCACGTTCCCAGTACCACCCACCGTCAGCGTTCTGCAGGAAACTCAGATTTCGACTCCACAGCTGTAACATTAACAGGATTCCCGGTCCGTTTCGATTTGCCTCCCTGCTCCACGACTCTTCCGCAACTTGGTCGGCAACCTTGGCTGTACCCAGTTGACCTACGACAACAAGCGTTTGAACACAGTGTAAAGTAAGACCACACAGATCAGATAGGTTCTGGCACTGTGGATAGGCCGAAGAAATGTGTCTTAGAAAGACGGACTGAAAGACAGACAGATGGATAGATTAGATTTATACTTATTATAAGTGTGCCCGGGTCTCTCGCATCCCTGCCCCCCCTGCCCCCTAACCTGCTCCCCGTCCCAGGCGTGTCGGCGACAACAGCCACAGGATTCGGAGGCTGGGATAGTCGCCACGATGTAAGCACAATGCCAACAGTCGCTGGGATTGGACCGGTTGGCGTGGCCCTCACAGCTTTTCGCCATGCGATTCAACTTCGCATCTCAAACATGGCAACAGTAGCTGGCCTGGCACGGCGGCGCAGTCGTGATAGGCATGATCGTGCTTTTTTTGTGGGGGCAGGTTGAGGACGCGCTCCGCAACGGAACAGACTGCACCATCCAAGCCACAGAGGGGTACGAGGCGACCGGTGTACTGATGGTGTACTGTAACGACCCACGTGACAGCCGGTGCGCTCCGCGCAGAGGAGACCCGCACCAAGGCAGGAGGGACAGCGGTACGACCGCAGGGTAAAGCCACCTCTGCAGCGCAGTAAAAGGCAGGACTAATGACAACACGACCGACAAACGGCTGCAACCACACCTACAACAACTCTTACCGAGGAGGCGGCCAACACAACAACAATTTCAGTGGAATACAACGCAACGGGACGGATAGTTTGACACCAGGGCACAAGCCTCGGTGGAGAGTTCTCTATCTTTCGGAGGAGACTAGGCTGCGGAGAACCATCCCATACTATCCCCCAGACAACCACATCACTAAACCTCTCTGCAACATTCGGCCCAGAAGCAAGTCTGGATGACGACGGCCCCGGTAGGATGGGACGGCTCCCACCTGCAAGTCAACTCCTGTTGAAGGACATGCCTGAAGATTCGCGAGCTTGGCTTTTGCACCTTTTAAGCTCTGCGGCTCTATCTGAATCCATGTCACGCGTATCTAGACGAAAAAACGTTACCCGGGCAAAGGGAAGAAGTGCCAGAAACAGAGTATAGGGAGGGAGGTAGAAAAAACAAATGCTGTTTCAACCGGCTGTGTCTATGTGCACCATCGAACATTTAATTCACAAGGAGGTGACCAAACACACAAAATCACAGAAATCATGATTCCCTCTATTTATCAGTTGTACTGACTCCGAAACAGTGTCAATATTGGATGCTGTTGCTGAAGCCTCTGCGAAGCCACTGGGGCTCTTCGTTTCTGGACCTGCCTATTGCCTGCCCGCTGAATCGCAAACCCTCTTGCCCGATCCAGTGGACCTGGAACCTCTGCCACCAAGCCACGTCGTCTCTGAGCCGCTTCTTGACCCAGTCGACGTCCTCCTCTCCGGTCGACAGCGTTTTGAAGCTCGTAGCACTGCACAGCGACTACTAATAGCAATCAGCGGTTGGTATTATGTTGATATCTAATTCTGCGCTTTGCGGCTAACATCCCCTAAACTGGGTGCAAAGCCGTAAACGAACACATGGCGCCAGCACGACGGAAGATAGCACCTTGAGCTCCGACGTCCCTGTCTGTGTCGATTTATACTTGACCGGAACGTCCCGCGTCGCCGCGGCGAGTTTGGCTTTCGCAGGCTGCCAGGAGAAGGAGATGCTCCTTGTTAGACCAGAAGATGACAAGAAGGAGTTCGGGTGACACGCTAATGATGCCAAATTTATGCTGATGCCGCACATCAAGGGAATCAAGGACACCAATACACCAAAGGATCCCAACAGCATTGAAGCACGGATTTATCCGCTCTCTTCGCCAACATCAACCACACAGGAATGCCCGGAAGAAGCTGTAGGTTCTGTTCGGACCATCCACATGAGTTGTAAGAAGTTGCTGCTGTCCAAGCATCTCGTGGTTTACCTGCGCAACAAACGCAGCTTCTGTTCGCTCATCAAAGTCTTGGCCCGAATGCCTTCTCACCATGCATCTTCCATCTTCCCAGCCTTCTGCACTGCAAGCCACTCTGCGTCGTAGCACAATGGCACAGGAAGTCTTCGCAGCCTCAAGTCCGGAAAGCCATTGGCAGAGACTGTCGAAGCATCCTATGTCTTCGCCCTCTTCCAAACTCCCATGCATACTGTAGCTCTCATCTCAGTTCCCTCAATTCTCAAGCGTCCCTGTCTGCCTGTTGTGCTGAGATTGCTCCGTCGCTGTCTACGATACGAGTAGTATGATCGATTGCTGGAAAGAGACGCAGGCGTCTTCAGCCAGGAGGGTCGTGGCAAAGCTTGCATCGCTGTGGGACAGCGCGGGTCGATGTCCAAGACCTGCACAGAAGATCTCACAAGACCCAGGACTCCTCTACTTGATCCTACGGCTTGCATGATCTCTGGGACTGGGATGAAACGCAGACCTGCAGCACCTGTCGGGCACTACGGAAACACAGGGCTTGAGACCGCAGCAGAAAGTCGCACTGATGCACGTGCAGGATGGCAAGAGGGAAAGTATACACGCTCTCGACCTTGCTGCCAGGCCTGCATATACTCGCGGCCCGTCCGGCACCGATCAAGCGCCAGGAACCTTAAGAACAGTCAGACAGTCAGTCATGATCACAGCTCACCGGATTCTGCTGAACTGAGCTGGAGGGTGGAGCATCCGAGTCATGGAAGTCATCGAAGCGCTCATCGAAGTAGGTCGATTCGCAGACAACAGGCTTTCATCGCTTTGCTTCTCATGCGGACAGAGCAGGAGTCGGCAACTGAGCGAAGCAATGTAGACCATAAGAAAGCTGCCGGTATCTCGGATGTCGGATGACAACCGAGCCAAGATGCCCTATACGGTTCGAATTAGAATCTACAATACCTACTAAACCCCGACCTTTGATTCTGCACAAGCCAAATTAACCAGCTGACTTCGAGCCCGTACCCTTCCCAGTGAAGCCAGAAACCGGGTGAAGGTACCATCGCCATGGGGAACCAGAGCTGGAAACTTCACCTGCCGAGTCTGCTGCAGACTTCGTCTGAACACAGTATCTGCCTTTCACCCATCCTGGCTCAGCACAAAGAGCTCTGAGCTCATCTAACATTTGGCGGTCTTCACGACTGTATGCTAAGACCTGGTAGCAGCACTAACAACTATTCAGTACGACCGTGGTTGCAAGACATCCCTGCTTGCAACAGAACTGCTCAGTGATGCTCTAGTTCTGCAAAGTCTGCGTCTTGTGGTCTGACCCACACCGTCCCCAGCAGGAGCCAAGCTCGAGGCAAAGGCCCTGGATCGAGAATAAGAGTCGGAACGATCAAACAAATTCGATCGCCTGTCACGCGGCTCGCAAGATTCAGTCCCTTCGATGACCTGTAGGCTTGAGGAGAACCAGAAAAGGGGTCGCAGCTTCTTCAGGAGCTCCATGGCAGCCTTGGCTCTAGCGACTTCCAGGGTGAGGACTGGGAGCCTAAACTCTGGAACTCGCGACACCGGACCTGTCTGTATGGATGACATGATCGGTGTCACCAACGTTGCCGGCCCAGCGGCAGGGCTTCCCAAAGTGTTGCCTTTCGTGCAGCAAGTGGTATAGACCGTGCATGAAGCATCAGGGCTGGAGGCTGTTTGACGGCCCCTCAGACAACGTGTCCAAGCTCCTAGGACCTGTTCGCGAGTCACTTGTCTCCCCCCCCCTCACACTCGTGGCTTCACGAGAGCCGCAGCTGCCTCATCTATTCTTCAACATCTGCATCATATCCCGTTGTCCTTCGGAGCCCGCCATCCAGCCTGACCCGAAGCATCGTCAAGCCCTGGCCTTCCATCTCCCGCTTGACATTCTCCCCCAGGTCGGGCCTGTGCTTGAAGGCTTGGCTGTCAGGTTCGGAGCTGCGGGCGACTTTGGCGCGTCTGAGCTCAAGACTGCTCGCACATCTTTTCGTAGTTGCCGAACTTCCAAATGCCTCGACACGAAACAACGCGGCACTAAATCTAGAGCGAACGACCCCAAATTACCAGTGCTTTCTGCCTGATGTTGTACCGCTGCGAAATCACGATGCATCAATGGCCCGGCTCACGAATCACACATTTACACCGCAAAACCCGGAACCACACTTCGAATCACCAGCAATTATAGACACTGTATATGCATCCGAGTGGACATGCTCAGAGTTCAAAGTCCTGCCTCGCGGCCAGTCGTAAGACACTACGATGTCGATGGGCTCCTTGAGCGCTTTCTACGGCTCCCGAGGCTCAGGGATGCATAGCTGGTATGTTCCGAATAAGATATCCCTACACCCGCAGATGCTGCCGAAAATTCCTGGCAGTCTGGATACATCGACCCACACCCCAGCCCTTGTAGTTTTGTCGAGTGTGTGCACGAGACTTGTCAACCATCAACGCTGTGTTTGTGCATTCCGAATCCGCCACAGTCAACTGACGTGTCTGACCATCATGCTTCATCGAATGGCTGAATTGATGCTGCTCCGCTCCTGCAGTTTCTCCAGCCTCGCTGCATCGTACTCGCGAGCGTGGACTGCACTTCGCTTGTACTCCTGCAGTCCAGGTCTTCCCGGGAAAACAATGGTCAAGACTTGCTCCAAGCGGCAGCACCACAATGGGGTGCCTTTTTATGTTCAGTTGGGTCTTTGATGCTGCCTTTGGCTTCCAAACGGACAACACGAAGTAGACCCAGAGAGACGTTCTTCGCGTTGCCTTTGCTTCATCTGTGCCCGTGCTGGCCCTTTGCTCTTAGACTTTAAAGCTTCCCAACGTTGTGTTGCTTGCCAGAACATGAAAGCAGAATACGGGCACAGTAGCTGTGACTGTCAATAATGCATACTGCACCGCACCCTTCTACTCTACTGGCAAGCCCTTCTAGCACTCCATTCGCTCCTCTGTGAAAGGTGGGCACTCGTGTCGTCCACGGAAGTAATCCTCATCAGATGCACAGTCCAATTTCAGAGTCAGCGCATCTAGACTTGTCGAGCTAGCGAGCTTTCCACCAATTCGACGTACACAGAACGGCTCCCTCCTGAAATAAGCGGCACATCGCCAGCTTGGTGACGTGGTTCGCTCAGGTAGCATGAAAACCAATTCTCGGAGCAAACGCCAAATTGAATTTCAGGGATGAACCACTTGGCAGGTCGAATCCCTCATGTGCAACTGAATCGCGACTAATCTGTGCCGGTGCACTGCTAGCTGCGGTATGTTCAGAGACTACGGACCCTGAAGCCTTAACAACAAATCCGGACTTTCCGAGCAAGGTCTTTATGCTTTTTATAGCTTTTCACTAGCCACTATATAGAATATATAGCCAGGATCTACGTGCCAGGGGGCAGAGGCGACAAAGTTACCGGAAATTCCAGCAATGCGGAGAGGACCTGGGCGAGGACCGCACCTTGCCTGTGTACGATGAATTCGTAAGGAAGACTACCCACAAAGCAGGAAAGGTTCCTACGAAAGGCCCTAAACCCTAAACCCCTAAACCCTAAACCCCTGTTACAATACTTCCCTGTCGAGTCGGGCTGCCAATGCGGACTACTCCAGCACAGCCAAGGTAGTAGATCCGTGGAGCCACCCAGCCGCCAAAGTAATGCTCACCTAACTACCGGCTCTTGCATGCATCTTGCACAGCGCTTGCAAAGAGTGGCGGTTGTCACAGGATGTCACGTGCGGATGTCTATGTCTTCCCGGGGCCATCTTACAATAGAAACGAGTACCACCCGAGGTGCGAAGCAGGTTCGCCGCCTCATTTCTGCCTGACGGCTGCAACTTTGGCGGATGATCGAAGCTGAGCGGGGAGGCGGGGAGTTCCCTGGCATGTTGACTTCAGCTTGGGCTTGGTCTTTGCCTGCAGTCTCTTGAGTATCGGCTCTGGCTACGCATATCACTGTCGTTGAATTTGGCCCACCATTCTGGCACGTTGCGACGACAGTACAGTTTGCAGCACCGCGCCTCCGACGAAGATAGTTGTCACCGGAGCCTCGTGCATGAGCGATACACGCAGGGAGGAAACTGGGCCCCTCCACTTGCCGAGACATCTGCAATCTAAGCAAACAAAAAGGCGGCTTCTTATGTTGAAGGCCTGTCACCTTTAGCCAAAATCCGTGTATCACGTGCTTGCGCCACAACCTGCACACCCGAAGGTAGCAGCTACTGCGTTGTGTTTCTGGATGGTCCACCACTTCCTGGCAAGGCCGGAAGTCTTGCTCGGACAGGCTTCTGGTCCCTCGGTTGATATGTCCGCGCGGCAAGCGGAAGTACGAAGTCCGCACTGTTGTCAATTTACAGCACGAAGGGTGCCGCCCGGCAGGTGGGATAATTTCAAGTGAACTCTGCCGCGCCAGCACATTGAGCACCGCAAAATGGAAGTGCGTCCGTCCAGCGGTCAACAGCCGTTACGCGGGCATATTTCTCCCTTACGCCAGTCTCACATCTGCATGGTCGCCCCCAGGCCCCTGGAGTGGAGCAGGACAGCCTGTGGCCTATGGCGCCTATGGTCCTACCATGGGTGCATCTGTTGGGCTGGAAATAAGCAAGAAACAGAGTTCTTCTTGAATAATCACGGTAGTCTGGCAGTAAGCGAACAGGCAAGGAGACATGCACAATGCTACAACCAGCATGGCTAACAACTTACGAGGTTACAGCTGTGAAATAAAAGAGTCCGAGATTGCCTGGCCGCAAGGACCAGCCAGGACCCCATGCCCATGCCCGAAACTACTGAGTCCCAGCCCCATGCAGGACATGGCTGGCTGCGTGCACAGCAGAACCAAATGAACCCAGCCTCTACACGACCGGTGTAGTACTTGCTGAAGTCCTTCATGTCCTGTCTCTCCTGTCGAGTTTTGCGTGCTTGCATCCCGACTACCCTCAGCACAGCACAACAATCGGAGCAGCACGTGTGCTGGTGTTGCTGGGAGTTCGGGACTGTGCGCTGGGGCCATAAGTAGACTTGAGGATGGATCACTTGATGCATGCTTTCTGCTTGTGATGAGTAGCAAACTAGCGGTTCATATGCGATAATCATTACTCCCTTCCCTTCCCCTATTCTGAACCTACCCCCCGCTCTCTTAATATTATCCTCCTTTGGAAGTATGGTCTTCTATTAATTCTAAACCCTTTGGTAGGCAAGCCGCAGGCAGACCCTGCAGTCCAACGCTCCTGCGGCCCCTGCTGGCAGCAGTTCTTGCAGCCAAGAGAACTAAACTATGAGAGGGAAAGGAACTCAACTTGTACACAGTCGCTGTTGTGATCGTAAGGTTTCGGATGCTGGGATAACCCCCAAACCTAAATTCTGCGAGAGTGAGAGATAGACACAGAGAGAGAGAGAGAGAGAGTTTCGATATGGGTGAACGGTGAATTAACTAGAAGTTGTAGTTCCCCAACCCTTTACCTTTCGGCGACCCCATGATACCCTAACATCTCCTAATAATTAGTACTGTTGTCTTGGCCCTTCTAGACTCCTCTTGCATTCCGGGCCAAATGCCCCCCCCGCCCCCCCGCCCCCGCGAATAAATGCATTCAATATTCGGGAGAGGTTCGAAAAAGAGAGGAAAGGGAAAACATTTGCAGCCCATGAGCGCATGGGCCGAATCAAATTAGCGATGTTCTGGCAAGCGGCACCCCTGCGAACACTCAACCGTATATTATACATTTACGGCAAATTCTGCTGCGAAGTAGCTCTTATAAAAAGACCCCTAACCATGGGCTCCAACACTGCAGCTTTCAGGGGTCATGGTACGAAACCAGAAACTCAACGCCGTTCATGCTGCCGGTCTGCACGATGCTGTTGCGGCATGCAGACGTGATCCAGATCCTGCCTTGGAGAAAGGTTCCGGTTCGGGATACAGCAAGAAAATGAGAAGTACAACACAGTCAGGCATGCGAAAGGAATATCCAAGTGGCTCATTGCGAACCGACATAAAATCTCCGCAGCAAATGAGCAAGTCGATGCCGATGCTTTGTCTTTCCAGCTTCCTGCTCAGAAGGGCATCTTTGCAAGACACTCTGCACTGTCCCATCCCCTGTGTTTTTATGCTCAATCAGGACAACTGCAAGTTACTATCTGTTCCGGCTGCGATGTGCAGGCAAGCAGATGCTCAGAATCCTTGTTAAACAGCAGTCCAGCAAGACTCACATGCTATCGGCACTGCCACTCTGTAGCACAAGCTAAGCTATCGTGAAGAATGACAGCCTCACCGTTTCGTAGACGCGGTCCAGTTCTCCATGGCAGCACCCTAAGACCTAAGTGTCGAGGTCTCAGTCATGTTTGTGCCGATATATGCATAGCTTACTCAGAGGCAGTTATTGAAACTTCCTGCAGCTTGTATGCGCTTCGGGATCCAATGGGAGCTTCTCTCTTCTGTTTTGTGGCACCATACCTAGTGGACCGAGAGCATGAATCAATAAAAACCTAAATTGTTGATGATGAAAGCAGACCGGCTGACCCAAGCATATGAACATCCCATCCCACACCAGGGTGCTCCGATCCTCATCGTCGAGCACCCGCCGTGCTCCTTTGGTGCCACACTGGCCCCGGACTGATCGTGGAACATGGCTCCATGCTCTATAAGGTGTCTGACCTCTTCCTCCGCACTGTACTGGAGTTTGGTGTCCAGCCGTCTACGACATACCACATCACTCCCGAAAGAAACCGGAACGATACGTGTACTATATATATATATAGACAGATAGATAGAGCTATGTATAGCTATCGCAATCAGTCGCAACACCAATCTCGTTCCTCTGCCTGGCAGAGTCCAAGTGCTGGTGCAGCGAAGGTGGGCCATGGCACGTCGAGGCTTTGAGTAACAGCTTCAGGTACGGTTGAGTACAATCAAGACTGCTGCTCCAATGAAACTATGTGTTTCTGACAAGCTAGTTTCCATGAACCATGATTATCAACAGAACCATTTCATCAACAGAAGTATGATACGGCAGTCTTACCTCCATGCAGATGCAACACCTGCTGCTGCTATTGCTACGATCATTGTGGGGCTTCTTGCTATATTTGCTGCAGCAATTTTCTGTCGGTACTACCCGTTTTGTGTACCATCGCGGGCTTCTCAATGCTAGCAGCAGCCACAGTAGCGGTAACAGCGGTACTGAAATATCGAGATATTCTGGTTGCTGCTATTGGGGTGGTTCTTCGTAGCCTCCGTAGTAGCAGTAGCAATAGCATTGGCAGTAGCAGTAGCAGTAGCAGTAGCAGTAGTAGTAGTAGTAGTAGCAGTAGTAGTAGCAGTAGGAGTAGGAGTAGGAGGAGTAGTGGCAGTAGCAGTAGCAGTAGCAGTAGCAGTAGTAGTAGTAGTAGTAGTAGTAGTAGTAGTAGTAGTGGTAGTAGTAATTAGTAGTAAATAGTATTATCTTCTGTTGCTGTTATTGTTGTTGTTGTAGCAGCAGCAGTAGCAGTAGTAGCAGTAGTGGCAGTAGTAGCAGTAGCAGTAGAAGTAGCAGTAGCAGTAGCAGTAGCAGTAGCAGTAGGAGT